ACAATTACTGATTGCTGGCCCTACCCAAGTTTTATCTAATGGGAATCTCTAAAATGTCTGCCCTGGGAAATTTTTTCCCAAAAGTACTCATAAACAATTATGATAACTAACCTATAGGAATAGTGGGCTAGGGATGCCTTAATTCACGTTAGTATTTCAGAGTACCATCTACTAGGTCGTCTATAAACAACAGAGGTGTATTTTTAACCATTATGAAGGCTGGAAAACTGAGATCAAGGTGCCAGCTTTGCTAGATTTGGGTGAAGGCACTTTTTCAGGGTAGTGATTTTGGTTTCTCATTTTATCTTTGCATGGCAGAAAGAGGACAAGGGGGGGGGGCTCTCCATTCATGAAGGTTCTGCCCTCATGTTAGAGCTTAGATATAAAAATTTGCCCCCAAAGGCTTATATGTTTGGAGGTGAGGTTTTTGGAAGCTGATTAGATAGTGGGGTGACTCTACTCAGGGGGTTCATTCACAGCTGAATGTGTTGTTAGTAGGTAGAGCCTGGTTGCAAGAAGTGGGTCACTGGAGGCAGGACTACATGAGTGAATTCTTGTCCTTAGCTCTCTCCTGCTCTCTCAGCTGCCCCAGGGTGGGCAGCTTTCCTCCCCCAGGCCCTTCTGCTGAGCCATTTCTGCCTTGGAGTCAGCTGACTATATACTACATCCTCTGAAACCAGGAGCCAAATACAAACTTGGTTAAATTGTAGCTGTCAGTGACAGGAAAGCTGGATAATATGTCTCACGAACTGTACCTAGAGCCCCCAGCTCCTAATATCATTACAAAGAGGGTTAGTCTTTCTTTCTTTCTTTCTTTCTTCTTTCTTTCTTTCTTTCTTTCTTTCTTTCTTTCTTTCTTTCTTTCTTTCTTTCTTTCTTTTGGGGGGGTTAGTATTTCAACATGTGAATTTGGAGGCCATACAAGAGCCAGTCCAAAATAAAGGCTAAAATAAAGCTACTGGAGAAGATTCATGATAGGTATGACTTGAACCTAGCTTGGAAGGAGGCCTAGGACTTTGCTGGCACCAAAAAAGCCAATTCTTGCAAATCCTTAGAAAGATCTATGAATCATCATAAATTAAACTGCAGTATGAACCCAAAAATAGTATAAGGGAGAGACAAGTCAGTGTGTGAGGATGATTAATTTTTGCAACCTGATTTTCCTGCATGGCTTTGTCTTTGAATTTATTGCTTACTGTTGTGTCATGATCAGATTAATGAATCAGCTGATTTTATCCCATTTCAAAGAGGACTGTGGAATAACCTGGGAAGAATCAGGGCACAGGCACTCTCTTGAATTTAAAGACTTTAATGGAACACAGTGAACTGTGCTCTATAGCATCTGGATTTGGATCAACTTTTCATAATGGAGATACTGATATTCTGCCAACAACAATGAACATCATTTTAATATCCTAGTCAAAAATCACTTATCACTGATCTGGAAAAACTTTTTTCACTCTTGTTGAAAAGAATGATTTGGAACTGCTATGGTTTGGATATGTGCCACAAAAGTCATGTGTTAAAAACTTGATCCCCAGTGGTGGTTAGTTCATAATGGTAGAGGCCTCATGAATGGATTAATACGGTGAGTGCTTGCGTGGGTTCTTATCATGAGAGTGGGCTTCTCAGAAAATTGATTTTGGCTCCATCTTGCCCTCTCTTGTTATTCTTCACCCTCCCACACCCATGTCATGCCCCCTGCCATGCTATGACACAGCAGGAAGGCCCTCACCAGATGTGAGCTCTCTACATTGAGCTTCCCAGCCTGTAGAGCCAGGCACTAAATCAATTTTTGTTGTTTATGAATTATCCAGTCTATAGTATACTGTTATAGCAGTATACTACAGACTAAGTATATACTTAGTCCATATATGGACTAAGGCAGAAATTCATCTTACATATTAACTGTGCTCATAGTCATACTGATAACCTCAATGTATTCTTTCTAAATTATTTATATTCCAAAGGGTGGAGTTTTCTAAACCTCATTTATGCAAACTTAGGTTCATAACACATTGTCTTAGTTACTTTCCTTGTTGCTGAGACAAAATACCTGACACCAAAACTCAATGGAAGTTCACAGTTGGTAGAGGTTTTAGTTCACAGTTGGCTGGCTCAAAGGCAGGGTGGTATGACAGAGGGGCATCACAGAGGAGAAACAGTTCACATCATTCAGAAAGCAGAAGATAGCAATGTATCAAGCATCAAGCTACAAGTGACAAAATATGACCCTCTTTCTATCCCTTATATCATATCCAGGCTACTCACCCTAAGGGCAGGTAGCGCTCACACTCAAGGTGAGGCAGGCTTAGTCCTAGTATTACACCATAAATCAATCCCAGCATCACATCCTTGATCCCAGCATCACACACCCTAGATCCAGCCTCTTCCCAAAAGGCACCACCTGTTACTGCACAAGGTTCTGGGGCATATCTAGATACAAGCTGTAACACACACCACACACATATACTGCTCCCTGAGGTGTCCAGTTAGACTAAAGGATGACTCTGACTGACCTCTTCTCCATTTAACACTTATTAAACAACTTGTTGTGAATACCATAGAACTGAAGCTTTTGCACATCAGGCAGCACTTTGGAATGCAACGGGGGGCGGGGGAAGGGAAATTGGGATTGTATCTTCCTGTGAGATGAGCTGGGGAATGAAGCATGATCAGATACTGAGATTGCTTACCCTGTTCCAGGTATGGTTGTAGGTGTTTTTATGACCTCATTAATTCTGCACAACAAACCTATTAAGCAGGTTCTATTATTTTTACCATTTAACCAATGGGAAACCTAGAACACATGGAGATTATCCAAGATACATAACTCCTAAGTCATAGCAGCTGGGGTTAAACCAAGGCATTCTGGATCTATATCTATGGTTTAATCAGAAGTATCCAGTATTTTGGTCTTTGTTTCCAGTTCTAGGTACAGAACTCCTACAAGTCTGGGAATTTCTTTAATCATGAGAATATCTTTTATAATTTTTAATGGCTTTGTCATGGCTAAATTTATGTTAATAAGATAATTTAGGAGGGGCCCCTTAATTGCTTCAGGGTGGATCTGGTTCCAGAGAGATCAAGTAATTAGAAGACCATCTTCTTAAGTGAAATAAATCAGATCTGCATGTGCAAACATCATATTGTAAAAACAACAACAACAAAAAACCCCATCATATTGTCTCTTTAATGTGAGAATCTGAAAGAGAAAATGAAATCTGATGGGTGTAGTAGATACTGGGAAAAATGAAAGAACTTATTCAAAAGGAAAGAGTTACTGAGTTGAGGAGGATAATTGAGGGAGTGGGGCAAAGAGATATATCTATGATATAAGCAGGATGATTTGGACAACTGTACTATGCATTGCTGCTAGTCTTTGGAAAGGAGCGAATAATACTTAATTTGTTTTGTCTCTTGTTTTCACTTATTCTTTTTTTCTTCTTAATTTCTTTTTTTTTTTTTCTGAGCTGCACTGTTTATTTGCTGCTTGAACCCTAAGTGACAGTATGCCACTATAGTACGGGGTTTCATCTAAACCTTTACTACACTGCAGGTACAGAAATATACGGACACATTTCTGGAGAACTGACATTTTGCAAAATGCAGCAAACATTTTCATTTATACATGAGAAAAGGAAGTGTTCAAAAGGGTATGCATTTCAAGTTATTGCAGGTTATTTGTGAGAGAATTTCTGCAGGTAAGACATGTTTAAATTGAACCAACAGTAGCGTGTCAGTGTATTTAAAATCATGACAAAATCTTCTCTCTGGTCATGTTGCCCATGACAAATTACTATGATGTTGTATGTTTAGGGCAAGATGTCAATACAGCATAAATCCCATGGTATTTTGGTTTTCTTCTGGAGATTAAAGCTGTTTTTCTTGGGATAAATGCAGCAGCAAAACATAAACCAGTTGATCAAAAAAGCACTTCTGCCACAACTCCAGTAATGTTCAGGACACATCAACCGACAGTAGTTTTGCCATTCCCAGTTCTCTTAAGGATTACAACTCGGCACTCAGCAGGTCTGTGTGGGCTTGCTCTCCATTAGGCCAGCTTGCTGACCACAGCCTGTTTGAGAGAGTTTAGTTGGTTGGTCCATTTATCTAGTGCAGTGTAACAGGCGCCACCTCTCTTCTGATGATCCAGTTCAAGGAGCTGGTTGACTTGATCAATTCGGCCATGGATGGTGTTATCCAATATGCACTGCACCAGCAAGCTTTCCACGTCAGCTACATCTATGTTTAACTCCTTAGAAATAAAAGGGATATGTATTCTTGTGTAAGGCTTAATTAACTTTATAAGCACTTGTGTTCTGATGTTTTGTAAAAGTTCTTCAATGTGTTCTCTTATGAAAGGATCATCCATAATGTTGCTGTGATTCGTTTTCAGAATCTTTTCAAATTCAGTGATGTCATTATTCTGATAGGCACTTACTAAATTTGTCATTGCTAGAATTTCTGGATCATTTTTGTACGGCTTAGCCTCCTGTGAGTCAAATGGATTTATCCCCGACTTCATTAGCATGTTTGCTAAGACCAAGTATTTTAAACAAGTAGTTCGTCTTGGACTTCCCGATTCATCATAATTCTTGAAGGCTTCAAAAAAATCTGTGTGTGCCTTTTCAAATTCACCTTCTCTCAAGTGCGTCTTACCACCACATTCTCTGATGACACCCATGATCAGTGGGTGAGGGATGGCAGACTTGCTGTGAAGCGACTGCTCATACAGTGCTTTCAGTTTTTTGTTATTTTTCTGCGCTGTGTACATTTGAATTTCCAAGGCATATATTTCTAATAACTGTGTACCTTTTTTCAGGTCATCTTCTCCATCATCAGTCTGGCAGGACTGATGTAACTGGCGTAATATTTTTTGAAGTTTTCCATATTCTTCGTGTTCTAAATATAATTTTCCAAGCTTTGTGTTTGTCTTAAACCACAGCCTATCATTCTTAGCATCTTTCAAAGCTTCCAGTGTTGTTTCATAAAATTCCTGCAGTAAATCCATCTGTTTAGAAGTAGAGATATAATCAAGAATAGAATTGATGGATTTTTCAGAATAATTTCTTGTCACTGCACTCCGAATATAGGTTAAGAGTTGTTTATATCTATTCATCATTTCCGGAAAGTTGGTCAACTTGAAGTTAATCTTAATCATTTGTTTCAGTGCTTTAAACCCCCACTCTCCTTTTTCACCTTCAAGTTCCAAAACTTTTTGGAAGCTGCTTAAAGCTGCTTTTGGGTCATCTTCTTTTAATGCTTTGGAATTATAGTACTGATTTTCCAAATCCACATTTGGCTCAGAATTACTGTCTTCAGAGTACTCCAGGTCGTAGTCCTCCTCATCATCGCACATGAAATCATCCTCCATGTCAGACATCTTGGCCGGGAGGGGGAGGGGACTCTTCTTAGTTTCTTATATATTTCTTTCTTTTTTTGTTTTTCCAATTTTGCATGTATATGTCTGGTAATATAAATAACTAGCTGGGAGACAACACTATGCATTACAACAAATATTATAAAATTTATATTACTTTGTTAAGTGAAATTCTGTATCACTTGTAATTTTTCTGTTTTAATATTATTTTGTACTCTCTTTTAGAAAAATTTTAAAAAAAGAAGATTGGAACTTCCGACTTCACCTACTAAAAGGAGGAACCTTAGAGACTGGGTGCCATAAAAACTGTTCAACAAGAGTTAATGAGCTTCTAGGCTAGTGAACCATAAAGGTCTGGTAATAGGGGGGATCAAGAGAGGACATGGATGCTCCTGCATCCCTCACTCTGTGCCAGTGATGGCAAACCTTCTAGAGTTTTCAATGTTTCAACAAACATCTGGCTGTAGCACACATGCCATAGATTTGACACATTGCCCTAAACCTTGTCTGTGCTTGTCTTCTGTTGGCTATTTCTGAGTTGTATCCTTTGCAATCAGCCTGGAGATATAGCAGATTCTTTCCCTGGGCTCTAAGCTGTGTTGTTGAATTACAGAAGCTAGTTAGATAGTTATGGGAGCTCCTGAGTCATAGCTAATCAGAAGTGCAGGTGGCAGAGATTTTTGCCTGATACCAGGAGGAGTATTATATGACTTGGCCCTTAAATTTGTGCAATCTGATGCTCAGTTGGTCAGTGTCTAAATTGAATTGTAGGACCCTCGACTGGTGTCCAGAGAATGAGGCAATCAGCTGCTGGGGTTGAGGAGCATCCCTGCGGAGCCTGTGCTCTTGGCTTCTACAGTGCTTAACTTCTCCCAGGGTGATGGTTGACCTTGTGAAAATGTGTGATGTGTTCCACGGCGGTACATAGAGAAATAATAGTACATGTGCTACCAAAGCGAGCACTAGGAGGAACAGAAAATATTAAATACAAAATTTTGGAGAAACCTTCCTCACAAGACAGAAGAAAGACAAATAAAATAGAAAAAAAGGTCAAAGAGATAGGAAAACGCTACCACCACCATGGCAGGGAAACCCCCAAGAACATTACCTATCAGGGGTCAAATGCGTTTAAGACTTCCAGAAGAAGAAAGTCCACAGATGTGTCCTCTTGGACTTTGGGGATATCTAGTGACTTTCGTAGTACAGGTCCTGAAGGGGCCGCAGTCATGGTGCACAGTGCAGAGGACTTAAGTGTGAACCAGTTGTGAAGACATAGTGATGTAACTGTAGAAAGATAATCTCTCAGAAATTTTGCTACTAAAAGGCATGAGAAAGGGCTATGGAAACAATTGCCTAACCAGAAATCTCTGCTTGTTTGCTTATAAGGACAAGAAATGCATAACATAGTAGGTGCTCAGTAAATTCACAAATGAATGAAAATAACAAATAACATTTATTTTGTGCTGCCTATGTGTCAAGTACTGGCTTAAGCCTTCTCCGTGTATTAACTCACATATTTCCAACAATCCCCAGTGTATATGTTCAAAGAAACAGGCCCAGAAAATTTAAGTCATTTGCCAAACTGCTTTTAAGCTCCTACTGCTAGTTTGAAGATGAGAGACCAGGGACCAGGGAGATGGCTTAATAGAATAAGCGCTTCCCTGGCAAGTGCAAGGGCCTGAGTTCAATCCCCCATTCTGGAAGAGAGAGAGAGAGAGAGAGAGAGAGAGAGAGAGAGAGAGAGAATGTGGTGCTGGGAGATTGAACCTCCGTCCCTGTGCTTTGCTAAGCTTGTTCTAAGTAGGTGCTTTAGACCACTGAGCCATCTCACCAGCCCCCAGACAGACATTTAAGGAGTCTTACATGTTTAAAATAAATGTATAGAAAATTTCATTCATCTTGCCTAGTGATTTCATCTATTATCTAGGGGATAAGACTGACAATGAAAAAAGCAGAAAACCATGCAAGTATGTAAGATGAAAGAACATTACTAAAACAACGCCCTTCCTCACCTCTGTATCCTCAGTGCATATCCTGGCACACTATGTGCAGAGTGGGAATTCCAGAAATGTTGAAGAATAAAGGAGTAACTCTAAGTTCTAAATAGTTATGATCAACTGATCAGACCTTTTTTTTTTTTTTTTGCCGGCTAAGCCCACCCTGAGGGCGGGGCTGGTGTAGCAGTGGTGCCAGAGATTGAACCCTGGTCCCCTGTGGCTGCCTAAGCTTGCCTAAGCAGGTGCTTTAGACCGCTGAGCTATCTCACCGGCCCTAGACTGATCATACTTGATGATGCTATCATAATAATGATGAAGAGGAAATTGTACTACAAGAAAAAGTAACAGTTTTAAAGGGTACACTTCATTCTTCTTGCTTTCTTTTTTTTTTATATTTATTTATTTTTTTATTTATTACATTTATTTATTGTGTGTGTGTGTGGCCAGCTCAGCCCACCAGGGGGCGGGGCTGGCTGGCATGTGGTGCTGGGGATCGAACCGTGGTCCCTGTGCTTCGCCAAGCTTGATTCAAGTAGGTGCTTTAGACCACTGAGCCATCTCTCCAGCCCCTCTTGCTTTCTTTTTCATATGAAAAATGCTTCTTTCAAAAAACTGAATCTAAATGATTATCACTTACCAGCCCCAAGTCAATCTTTAATGAGTTTTTCTTTTCTGTCTTTTGATCTTTATTTTTTAAAGCAAATAAAAAATAGTAAAAAAAAAAAAAAGAAAGAAAAAATTAAAAAGAAAAAAGAAAAAGAAACGGAGCATTTCTTTCTTTTGTTAGTTTTTTAATGATCTATGTTGCTGAAACAGCAGAGGGAGCTAAAATTAATGCTCTGCATTTGTTGCCATCGTCATCAATGCTTTCAAAGCACAAATATTTGAAAAACAGGCACAAATATTAGAAAAATCAGCTTTCCATTCTACCAGAACAACAGGGAGGAGGTGAGCCCTGGGAAGGTAAAGGGTTAAAGCAGTTACAAGGTAGTAGAACTTGTATGTGTTTAGAAATGCAGACAGAGCACGTTGCAAGCAGACACAAGGAAGAGTGATTCTAACTTGTAGAGCTGTAAACCTACCTCTAACTTTCCTTCCTGAGAGTGCAAAGTTAAACTCAGGGACTTCTGTAAAGTGACTTTCAGTGCACACAAGCATCCTGGGAAGTGGTCAAGTTGAGAAGAGAGTTTTAGATCAAGCAGATCTGTTCATTGCAACATACAGTCTCTTTATACATAACATAATTACTGTTATTTTGGGGCTTAAGTCTGCCTTTCTATTAGTCCCATCTATGTTACTTTCTTTTTGTGGCAATTCTGTAACTTTATTTCCAAGTTAGTTCTTGTCCACATTCACTGTCTGGAGATGTTTACGCGTGGTAACAAGGACGTAGGTTACCAAGGTATACAGCTTGTTTGGTGAATCTTTATCCTCATTCCATTCTCTGGACAACCACACCTGGATAAGATATGGAACATTCCATATTCCTTTGGCCCAGACAGCTTTGTTGAGCCTAGTATTGATGCACACGTCTGGAGTCCCCATCTCCTTCCTGGCAAACCTCCAGATTGCAAGTGCCTGAGGAGCGCGCTTCTTGAAGCCCACTCTGTGGATGAACTTGTGAATACTGATTGTGTATTCTCAGGTCACCACCTGAGGTTGATAGCAGAAACGCCCTTCTCTTTCTTGCCATCCTTCTTTGCAGGAGCCATTCTGCCGGGCCCAAGTTGGAAAGGAAGAGCACGATGGATTGTGGGACAGAAGGCCATGGTTGCCTATTTTACTTATTTTTATGAGGGCTAATTTTATGTGTCAACTTGACTGAACCACAGTGTACCCAGATATTTGCTTGCACCTTATTCTGGATATATCTATAGGGTGTTTTTGGGTGAGGTCCATCTTTAATAAGGAAGAAAGATTGTTTTCCATAATATGGGTGGGTATTATAATTTGGCTCTAAAGTGGATCCCCAAAATCTCATGTGTTCAGAGTGGGCCTTTGGAAGGTGACTAGAAAGCTGAACTCTATGCTATACTCACCAGTGTGCATTATTGAGTTCACAGCCAAATGTGCTGTCGGGAAGTAGGGATGGCTTGGAAGATGCGAACCACTGGGGTATGAAGGAAAGCCTATGTTTTGTCCCTGACTCCTCCTCCTCCTCCTCCTTTTCCTTTATTTTTCCTCCCTCTTCTCTCTTCCTCTCCTTCTCTCTCTCTGCCCTCCTCTCTTCTGGCTGCCTTGGAAGGAGAAGCTTTCCTCTCCATGCTCTTGCACCAGCCTATTTCTGCCTTGGAGCTAATGACCATGGACTGAATCTTCTGCAATCATGAACCAAATACACTTCTCCTCTTGTAAGTTGCCAGACTGAGTATTTTGTCTCAGCAGCGGGAAAGCTGATCAATATAGTGGGCTTATCCAGTCAGTTGCAGGCCTGAATAAAACAAAAAAGACCCACTTTACTGTAAGCGCAGACTGTACCAACAACAGTCCTGAATCTCCCGCTGCCCAGCCTTCATACCTGCACCACACCATCAGTGGTTCTGGGTCTTGAGTCTGCTAGCAGAATTCCTAGTCTGCATAACTACATAACTCATTTTATTTATTTATTTATTTATTATTATTTTTTTTTTTAGACAAGATCTTGTTGTATAGTCCAGGCTGGCCTTGAACTCACTTTGTAGCCCAGGACAGTCTCAAATTCACAGCAATCCTCCTGCCTCAGCCTCCCAAGTGCTGTGATCACAGGCATGTGCCATCAGCCCAGTGGGTGAACTCATGCCTTCTAAGAATTTTCTTTGTTCTTATCTTCTCTGAATTCTTCCCAAATGTCTTTGGTTTTCTTCATTTTCAGTATAATTTGCCTGGGAAGGATTTCTTATTATCTATAGATAGATGGGGCTTCATAAGACCATGAGTTGTAATCTTTAATCAGTTCTCAATATTTCAAGCACCAGCTGTCATACTCAGATTGTACCCCGGAAAAGACTGTACCCTTTGGCCCTCTGTGTTATCATGGAGTGA